CCCAGGCAACCTCTGCCCACCTCCCCGAAAGCCAGGCTCCGCATATAACCACTGTCTTGCTTGGGACATGCGTGTGGCCCGGGGACGAACTGTGACCCACAGGGCCTCTCCGGAGATCTGTCCTAGGTCGGGGTGGGGTGGGCACATGCACTTATGGGGGGTTTACTTGTTCATCGCGGCTCCAGGGAACACACTGTCCCCGGCCCAGACACGGCCCACAGAGCATGTCACACCGCCTCCCACCCCGCACTGTGTGTGCCCGCATCAGACACGCACCCGGGGCAGCCACGCTCTGGGCACTCCTGAATGTCCAGACGCAGTGTGGTAGCTGCCGGTGAACACGGACTGACTGAGCGAATGCCCGTACCATCACCCTCAGTGCTCGCCCAGGCTGACCTCGGAGCAGCCTGAGGGTGGGTGCTGGCTTTCTGCGGGGTTTTAACGTTCTCAGTGCCCAGCCCCCGGCCCTCTCTCCTGCTCTCCAGGTCTCAGTCAAACCCCATCACCAAAGGCTCCGGCTCCGCTCCCTCCACAGGCCGCAGCCCTTGAGCATCCCACACCGAAGGGGAGTCAGTTCTCCACTGGGGACTCTCCCACAGGAAGCAGGCTGGGGTGAGAACCCCCCTCAGGAACCGGTGACAGACAGCCTGCACCGGAGGGACAGGCAGAAGGCGCCGGGAGGACGAACAGGCTCACTCTCCTGGTGGGAGACCGGTCCCTGCCCCTGCTCATGGGTTCCCCCGTGGCTGCACCGAGCCACGCGCTGTCTGGGGCAGCAGTGACCTTGCCATGGAGGAGGGAAGTGGGAGTGGAGGGGAGAGGGCGTGGACATAGTCGCTATGATGAAAGCACAGGGGCCACAGAGCCTGGCAGGGGCGGGTTGGAGGGGGAGAGCCTGCCTGCCTCCCGGGAATCAGAAAAAGCAGCTGAAAGGAAGACACGGGAGAAGCGCCTCAGAGGGTGATGCAATGAGAACAAAATGCCGTTCTGATAATAGCGTCACTGCCAGCATTCCCACAGCAGCCAGACCGCGGAGTGTTTACTGTGCCGGGCACACGCAAGCACTTTACACACTTCCCTGTTCAGCCCGTGTGCCCGTGACACACGGTAAGAACACCAGCGAGCCTGAGGACCGGCCTAGAGCCCACGCGTGTGTCCCCAAGGCCACCCAGCGGCAGGCTGCAGAGAGCTCCGTCCTCAAGGCCGCACAGGGGCAGCAGCTCATCAGAGAAGGTGGCTGGGATGCCAGCTGACAGCCACGGAGCCTACCAAGAGCCATTGTTTCACAGGCTGATGAGGGCAGCGGGGCAGACTGGGCCTGAGCCAATGGGGCGAAGGGGCCGTCACCACGGCCGCGGTGAGCGGGCTGAGGCGCTGAGCATGCCGTCTGCCTCAGGCCCGCCAGCCTCCGTGTGTGTCTGGGAGGGAGGGTGTGCAATGTGAGTGAGAGTGTGAGTGAGGATGGCCTTCCTGTGGAAGGAGGAGGTCGCAGAGCCTGCCCAGTGGGGGTGGGATCAGGTCGGCAGGGGGAGCGGCAGGGACAGGCCAAATCCATTGCTCTGCCTGAGCAGGAGGCCTGATGAGTGGGCAGCCATCATCCCACAGCTCTGTGAACCAAATGAAGGCCACGGAGCCGGCATAAAATGATGTGAATGGATTGAAGCTCCTGGCCCCCGGTCTCTTCTGAGGTCTGGCTTTGCCCTCTGGCTGTGTGGGGTCACGGTCATGGGCACTGGACCCTCCCTCATGGCCGGCCCCTCCCCCCCAGGTCAGACCTGCTGAGCTGGAGCAGCCGCCCCGGGCCTGGGCACCCTCGCACACCTTTCTAGCAGACTCCAAGCGGGCCCCTCCTTTCCAGGTCAGGCTCTCCCCTCCCCCTCCTGTTCCCGAGCAGAGATGCTGCCAAATGGCCCCACGCCTTTGTCTGGGCTGCGACATGCTGCTCTCACTGGGGCCGGGAGAACTGGCCTGCACCTCCCGGCCCACTCTCTTGCTGCCCAAGGCTCCCTCCCGTCGGGAACCCCCCACCCCCCGCCAGAGGAAGGCCCTCCACCAACGGAGGGCCGTGTCCATCCTCCCCAGAGGACGCTTCTTTCAAGACTCCACCCGCTCCAGTCTGGTCCCGGCAGAAGAGAAGCAGGTGGCCAGTGTCCAGGGGGAAGGGGAGTGGCTCCCACAGCCCAGGAGAGAGCTTGGGCAGCTGGGTGCAGGCGGAGGCGCTCTCTGGAGACCAGCCCTATCTGTCCAGCTCAGCGGCAGCCCCGTTCTGTGAAATAATGATTAGGACTCAGCACCAGAGAGAAGGGGTCTCTTTCAGACTGTAGCATGGACAACAGTTTGGAGGAAGAAATGCCTTTGAAATCACGGAACCTAAGCTCCCCTCCAAACAGGTGACACTGACGGGCATGCGGTGGAGAGAGAGGTCTGGAGTCTTGGAGGCTCTCAGTGGCTGAAGGTCAGTCTAAGCCACTCCTGGCTTTGGCCAGGAACCTCCCTGAGGAATGAATGCGGGCCGTCAGGGCAGAGCTGGGTCTGTGCTCCAGGCTCACGGCCTCAGCGGGGCGGCTGCCTCCGGGCTGGGCCGGGGCAGAGCGCGGGGCAGAAGCCAGAGTGGTCTGTTCGGCAGTGAGCCCGGGGGCTGCCTGGCACAGCCTGCCTGCCATCAGATGGCAGCCACCTGAATCCAGCCGGGCCGGGCAGGGGAGTGTGTGCTGATCTACGGGGCGCCATTTCCAGGGCGAGCAAGCGGCTTCTGCTGCCACACCCTCCGGGAAACACAGACGCAGCAGGCTCCCACCCACAGGGAACCTCACTTGGAAAGAATCAGCCGCCCGAGGGCTGCTGAAGGTCAGAAGGCCCAGCGCTCTTCGGTGTGAGCCTCAGTTTCCCCGTAAACACATGTCCTGATTGGCTCTTAAAAATCTAAGACTCTAAGGTCGGGACTGTGTCTTCCTCCCCTCCTGCATGGCCCCAGCACAGTAGGTCCTTAAACCAGCTCCCTGGATGAATGAGATGGGTCCTGGGTCAGTCCCAGGATCACCGAGACCAGGGAGACCCGCCTCGTGCCCACCGCCTGGCCCTCCCAGAATCCACAGGTCTCAGGGAGCCTGGCGCTGCCGCAGCCACGCACACGGCTCCCCTCCAGGAGCAGAGAGTGGCCGGAGGAGCCCGAGGAAAAGGTGCCAGGGAGGAGCGGGAGGCCTGGGCGCCAGGCAGATCGCCGACGTGCACTTTGCCAACTCACCTGGCTCCTCTCCCTCCGGCTCTTCTGCCTTCCCTCACCCGTGGCCTCTCTCCCCTTGTAGCTGCTCCGGCCCCTCCCGGCCCTGCCACCTTCGGGAGCCTCCGAGCACCCTGCCGGCCCCAGACTGCCCGGCCCTCCGTGAGGCAGGAAGGCGGGCCTAAGTCCGGGAGCCCGGGCTTCCTCAGGGGCAGAGCATGGAGAAAGCAGCCCTGAAGACTTACATTCCGCCCCAGAAGAGGGGCTCCCCTTAGAGATCTCTCTACCTGCCTCTCAGGTTCCTGGGAAATGTGTTCCTCCGGCCTCTTGGCCCACCCCATACCCATTGGCATAGAGCCTGTCAAGGCAAGAAATGTCCTCTCTTCCAGCTGAGATCTACTTAGAAGCACCGTGTGAGTGTGTGTGTGTGTGTGTGTGTGTGGTGTGGTGTGTGTGTGTGGTATGTGGTGTGTGTGTGTGTGTGGTGTGTGCGTGGTGTGTGGTGTGGTGTGTGTGTGTGTTGTGTGTGTGTGGTGTGTGTGGTTTATGTGTGTGTTGTGTGTGTGTGTGTGTGTGTGTATGTACATGTACACTGATGGCAGGGTGCGGGGGTGGGTGGTGATGTGGAGGTATGTGTATGTTGTGTTTGGTGTGTGTGTTATGTGGCATACGTGTATCGGCGGTGGTGTGTGCAGTATGGTATGTATGCATATGTGTCTGTGATGTGTGCTGCGGGAGGATGCGGAGAGTGGGTAAAGGGCCATGCCAGTTTGGGAGGGAGCTGGCGAGGCGGGTCCCCTGCCAGAGAAGCCACAGATGCCCAGTGTCCAGGCAGCCATGTTGTGGGGCGGGGAGCAGACAGGAGGTGAGGAATGGGCAGGAAAAGGAAGGAGGCTGCTGAATGAGAGGCGTTTCCATGGTAACTACCAGGCAGGTCACATGCCAAAGGCTAAGTTGCTGGAAACGTTATACACATCCACAGCATGAGAGCACGAGGCCCCCGGAGCGGGGTACCCTCAGCCCTCTCCAACCCTGAGCATCCGGGCGGAGAGCTCCGCCAAGGAGCCAGGGGGGGGCCGAGGCCAGCGGGTGGGCGAGGCCGCAGCCTGGGCCCCACCGCGGGCGGCGGGCGGCGGCCTGGCAGGCTGTTCCCGCAGCCGCTGCGCTGCCCCTGGAGCTGCTCCTCCCGCCGCCACTTGTAAGAGCCGGAGCGGGCGCCGGAGCGCCTCCGATTGCGCACGGAGCTCGGGGACAGGATGGGAGGCTCTGCCTGCCGCCCGGGAAGGGCAGGGTAGGAGGAGAGGGGGGGCGCAGGGCTCCCTAGAAGAAATCGGGACTGGTAAACAAGGAGGAGGAAAGCACGGATGCACACGTCCTCTGATCCCCGCCCCTGGAACCCGGCCTTTCCTGCCTCCCTCACCGCCCCGCCGCTCCCTCACCAGCAAGTCCCATTTTGTGCTGCTCCGTCGTCCACACTCACACCCAGCGCCCGCCAGCTCTGCTCCGGGCCACGGCTCGCAGGTGGCAGAAGGCGGGCGCCCGCCAGACACAGGACGGTGCGGCCCTTCCCTTCTCCCGAACCAGAGCCCGCTCCCGGCGAGCGCTTTCAAGCCCCCGCCTCGCCGGCCTCCCCCAGGGCCGCTCCCCTGACGCCCCCTCCTCCTGGGCCGCCGCCGGGAAGGCTCACACCCGCGACACCAGCACCCGCGAAGCTGGCCGCCGCCGCCTCCCCGCCCGGGCCTCTCCTCCGCGGGAGCCCGCGCGCCCTCGCGGCGCTCACCTGCGCAGCGCTCCTCTCCGGCGGTGCCGACGACGTGCCGAGCCGGAGCAGCTGGGAGTGGCGCCGGGCTGGATGGCGGGAGCTCTCCGCTGTCCGCCTCCTTCCGCGGGCGGGTGGGGAGGTGGGCGGGGCTCCGTGGGCTGGGGGGAGGTGGGCGGGGCTCCGTGGGCTGGGGGGAGGTGGGCGGGGCTCCGTGGGCTGGGGGGAGGTGGGCGGGGCTCTGTGGGCTGGGGGGGAAGTGGGCGGGGCTCCGTGGGCTGGGGGAGAGGTGGGCGGGGCTCCGGGAGCTGGGGGTGGGGAGATGGGAGGGGCTCCGCGGGCTGGGGATGGGGCCAGGATAAGGGTAGGGGGGCCGTAAGAGTGGGGACAGGGCTCTGTGGGCTCCTGGGGGTGAGATGGGGGCTGGGGGCTGGGGGTGGGATGAAAGATGGGGAGGGGGCGGGGCTTGGCGGGCTGCTAGGGGTGGGGGCCGGTGTAAGGGCAGGGCCCTCCCCCCCACCGTAAGGGCCGGGGGCGGGGCTCGGCGGGATCCTGGGGCTAGGATGGAGGCTGGGAGTGGGATTGGGGCGGGGGGCGGAGCTCGGCCGGCTGCTGGGGGTGGGATGGGGGCTGGGGGTAGGATGGGGCTGGGGGGGGCTAAGGGCTGGGGGTGGGATGGAGGTAGGGAAGGGCTGGGGTGGGATAGGGGCTGGGGGCTGGGGATGGGATGGGGGCTGAGGGCGGGATGGGGGCGGGGGTGGGAAATCCGGGGGTGGGATGGAGGTAGGGAAGGGCTGGGGATGGACTGGGGCTGGGAGTGGGATGGGGGCGGGGGCGGGGCTCGGCGGGCTGCGTGGAGCTGGGGTGGGTAGAGCCAGCCCCGCCGGGTGGAGGGTTCCCGCGGAGCCGGCCACCTGGAGGAGCAACAGGAGCCGGCGCCGGGGCCGCGGTTAGATCTCCCTGCTGCGGGGGGCCGGAGCGGACGGACAATGACGCCTGTGTCGCCGTGCCGGAGTGAGCCGGGGACGGAGGCGGGTGGAGGAGCCGGCGCGGCGGCCCCCTCCTCGCCGCCGGAGAGCGGAGCGCGCGAATGGCTGCGCCTGGCGCCGCGGGTCCTGTTGTAGCTGCCGTTCAGCGCGAGCCGGGGCGCCCCCCCAACACAGATTTGCCGCCCAGAACCCCCTTTCTAGACCCCTGCCAAGTGTTAGCACTGCCCCCTCCCCAGCCCGCTCCTCAGGATCAAATTCAACAGAAAACTGCGCCTGAAGATTTTAATCCTAGTTCACAACCAGCCTCCGCGCTCTCCCCGAAATGGCCGCCCAGCGGCCCCCGGGGGCCCAGCCCAGCCTCAGGCTCTAGCAGGAGCCCCTGGTTGGCACCCAGGAGGCCATGCCGCTGCCATGAGGCCGCCCAGCCAGCTGAGATGGGTGGGGGTTCACAGGACGGGGGTGGCTGGTGAGAGGCTGGACGTCCGAGCCTGGGCAGGGCCTGGGGACTTCATTTCAAACCCGGGAGGCGGGCACTGTGGGAAGAGCCCCAGCCCAGGCCTCCGTTTTCTCATTGTGCCGCAAAGGAGGCGGCGGACTGGGCAATCCAGAGGCCCTTCCGGCCCCAAACCTACGTAATTGAACTGTTGAGTAAGTGGTCCGGGTTTAAAACCCGAACACAGGAAACATGCGCACATTCAAGAAAGCTGTGCATGCTTTGGAAGCCACAGATGGCTCCTGAAATAGTGGGGGGATGGGGGTGGGGAGGAGACCCCTGTTATCCACTGACTTCCCACAGTGATATCTCCAACTTCGTTCTTCTTTCTCAAGATTGCTGTGGCTAGGAGGGGTTTTTTGTGTGGTCCCACACCGATTTTAAGATTATTTATTCTAGTTCCATGAAGAAAATGCCATTGGTATTTTTTGTTTTTCTTTTTTAAAAATATATTTTTATTGATTTCAGAGAGGAAGGGAGAGGAAGAGACATGATGAGAGAATCATTAATCAGCTGCCTCCTGCACACATCCCCAACCCCACCTTGGGGATCGAACCCAAAACCCAGGCATGTGCCCTTGACTGGAATCAAACCTGGGACCCTTCAGTCCGTATAGGTTGATGCTCTATCCACTGAGCCATACCAGCTAGGACACGATTGGTGTTTTGATAAGGATTGTGTTGAATCTATAGATTGCTTTGGGTTGTGTGGACATGAAATCCAATGTAACATGACTTTCTGTCTTTACAAACACCCTTTTCTGCTTCATCTCCTGAGACATTGTGTACTGCCTTCCCATCCATCCAATCCTAGCCCTCGCTGTCTCCCAGCTCAAGAGGGCCAGTCACAGTTACTCAAGTACACTGCTTGCTTTTCTGCCCCCAAACTATGACTCAGATAATTTTCTCTCCTTAAGACATCCCCTCTCATTTCTTTACTCACCAGAATCCTACCTACTGGGCAAACCTGATGTAAATGCCGCCTATTGAAATGGAAGCCGTCTTGGCATGAACGGCGCTATGTCTCCCATCTGACTGTGGACATGCCAGTCTGACATCTGTGATGTCCGGTGGCATGTGTGCTGCCCCAACAGGATGGAACTTCCTTGGGGTCAGCTGGGCATGTCTCTGCGCCCATAGGCCCGGTGTCTTGCTGGGTAACCCACTTTTACTGGCTGAATTTAAAGGAATCCCAGCTCACAAGACCCTACATGATCATGCCCCCAGCCTTTTCAGATTTGTGGGGAATGCTCTCTTGCTCGCTCTCTCTCCACCCAGCAGTCCCTCCGTTTAACCTTGGGGTCCGCAGACCTGGATCCCTGAGCACTGGCCCCTGGGCTGGGCAGTGCCTTTGCTTGGTTCTCTTACCAAGAGTGGGGGAAGTGGCTGAGCTATGGAGGCCACAGGCAGGGGGAAAACGGGCGGTGAGTCTCACAGGGCTCCGAGGCCAGCAAAGGGCGGGGGACCCTGACTCCGACATTGTGGCCACAGGGGCGTACACCTCCGTGGAGCTGGAGGGACTGGGAAGGCGGCAGACATGTCGGTTCCCTAGATCCACTCTCTTCTTTTCCCTTCCTATCAGAACTGCTTTCTAACTGAGCTGCAATGCGTTCAATTTAAACTACCGATTTCCCAGACTTCTTTTAGGGTGTCCCAATGACCCAACTCTGGCCAAGGGGATGGGAACAGAATTGTACTGAGAATTCTAAGAAACACACAGTAGTATGTACCTTTTACCCTTAGCTTTTTCTCCTCCTCTTCTTCCTCCTCCACCTCTTTTTTCTTCTCTTTTTTTCTCTGAAAGATGCATGTGCTGCCTGGAGGGGAAGCAGCCATCTTGCAATGAGGAAGAAGAAGTCTCCTGCTAAGGATGGTAGGACAGGAGGCCGTCCACAACATCTGAATGACTTCATTGTGGACTTCTGGTTTCATGAGAAAATTCAGCTCCTGTTACATACATGTGCAGTTAGCACAGCCCTAGCTGATCCGCTTGAGGGCCCAGCGGGGAGGACAGCGGTCCATCCTGAGAGGCCCCGCCCCTGGAGGACCGCCTGCCACGCCCAGCCCGCGAGCTCAGGCCTGGAGGACACACGCCGCCACCTCTCCTGGAGTGGGTCCTGCGTGGCTCCTTCCCGTCGCTGCCTTGATGCCAAGGCCTTCACTGGGGGAAGGGAAGCGAGCAGAGGCAGCCATGGTGGGAAAGCCTGAAATAAAATCTCGCCCAGCCTCCCCGCAGGAAAAAAGCCAGGCGTGCCAAAGCCTGGATGCTGCTTGTTTTGATCTTAGCCAAAAGGCCAAGAAGCGATTGCCGCTTGTTTTGAAGTGAAAAATCCACGCCAGTTCTGTTAGTTTGGAAAGCCAGTTGCCACCTGAGTAACTTAAACCTGCCAGATCGGCGTGAACTGTCACCTCAAGGTGCTGGGCTCTAACTGTGAGCACACGTCTGCCAGCGCGGCTGGTTCTCCAGATGGGAGCATGTGACGCCTCGTCCCCCAGCCTCTGCACTCTGACAGTATGCCACCATTGCCCGCTCCCAATGATGCCCCCGGGAGGAAGCCACGCCATGCTGCCCTTCAGAGATAATGGCATTGGAAATTCAATACTTAATGGCTCCCCAGGCAAGACCAGAATAGCCTCATGTGCTGCCTTCCTGGCGCAGAGAGGCCAGCAGCCTGTGAGCATCAGCCTCAGGCCCCGCCCTCCCCCAGTGCCCGGAGCCAGCGCTCCTGGCGAGAGCCACCTGTTTATCGTCAGAGAGTTTTGTCGGACCCGCTGCACCGGGCTCGGAACAGAGGCGCAGCTGAGCGTCTGAGCCCAGGGAGCCTGCGGCCCAGCAGGCACCTCCTTTCAGCCTGTACACGCGCTCTGCAGGTTGACCATCACCCGCCAGCGGGGCCATGTTTGCCATGCCGTGAAGACCGACTTGAATCCACTTATCTTCTTCTGCTCCCCACCCCCACCCCCACCCCAAGCCTGAGCTGGTGTTTGAGAAAACAAGAAAGATGACGCGGGGCTGGCGGACTGTTGAAGTCACGTGAAGGCTGCAGACCAACTGCCTGGGGGAGAGGAATGTCCCTGCACTTCTCCCAGGAGGCCTGGCCCCCCGGGGCTGGGCCTGGCCGGTCTTGGGAAGGGGGCTCAACTCTGATGACAGTGGACATCCAAAAAGGATGCTGGGCAGGTCTGCAGGTCACTGTGGCCATACAGGCACTGCCTCTCCCGTGTGTTTTGTTTCAAATATGTTTTTATTTCAGAGATGAAGGGAGCGGGAGAGAGAGAGAGAGAGAGAGGGAGAAATCAATGATGAGGGAGAACAATTGACCAACTGCCTCCTGCACACCCCCTCCTGGGGGTAGATCTGGCACCCCCGGGCAGGTGCCAGCCGGGCCTCTCTCGTCTGTTTGCAGTGGACTTCTGGGGGGATTTCTCCCCGCTCCCTCCTCCTGTAATTGTTGTCTCTGATGCTGCTGCTCATGTAATTGCCTCTTACACTGCAGGCATATTTAACGTCCAGCATTAAAGCATTATCTCTATTGGTTTTCATTTTTCAGGATTTGTACCAAAACAGGTGTGGCTGGTGGGAGTGGATGGGTCCAAGCTCATTGTTCTGGCCATTCGCTGGATCAGCCCTTTCACAGCCCCTCCCTGGCACGTGGCTGGAGTCCGCAGCTGTCCC